CCAGAGAAAAACAAAGAGGAAGGAAAAGAGAAAAACCAAGCCGCTGGTTCCAGGACTCGAATCATGGTCAGCCATGTAGGAGTGAGGCACCTTAATCACCACGCCACCTGCTGGTCCCTAGGTTTGATTTTTATAGCTCCTTTGGCAAGTGAAAAATGGAAAACTGGAAACATTGATATAGTGACGAGTCGTGTTGGCATGTCTTCTAAGCTTCCTGTCGCTCAGACACAGGTGGAAATCAATCTGGACAAGCTAGCGCCTCTGTCAGCTGCTCGCTGGACTTGAGCACGTCGGACTGTGTGTTCAGTTATGAAGGAAAGGGCACGTGAGTTACACGCATATGTGCGAGGACCAGCAGTTTCATTTATTCTTTTAAAACAGGATTATTTATTTAATTATATTTATTATTATAATTTTTAAATTCACCAGAGACAGGGGGAGAGAGAGAGAAAGAGAGAAAACAAGCTGCCAGGTCCAGGAACCTGGTCGACCATGTTGGAGACCAGTGCCTCAACCACCATGCCACCTGCTGGCTCCAAGCAGTTTCATTCTTAAGGAGATTCCTGGCTAAGTGCACCAAGAGTCATGAACGAGACAACCGATTACTGTAGTCTTTGATACGGCAAGGCACAGGAAATGCGCGGGTAGGCTGCACAGTGCTCTACACGCAGCAGTGAGTGAACGAGCTGTAGCTACGTGCAGGTGAGTCACGGAAACGCGTGACTGAAAAAGCACGTCACAGAGGACTACATCGAATTACTCAGATAAAACTCAACCACCAAGCCAAGTCCAGAAAACTTTAGGGATTCATGGGTAGAGAACTTATTTTTAAAAGTAAGGGAGTCATAAGCCCAGTGCGTAATCTTGTATTGGTGGGGAAGCTGGAGGACAGGGAACAATCACGCTAGTTGTTAGATTGGCAGGCGCTCCTGGGTTGTTTATTTGTAATAACTTTAATGTATATCACATAGATTAAATTTGCGTGTGTTCTATATTATGCAGTACGTTAAAAAACAGTGTTTGAAATGCTACAAATATATCTTCAAAGGTTATGTGTGAAAGCTGTGGGGGAGTGTGAGTGTGTGTGTATATATATTTCTTTATTTTTTAAAGATTTTTCTGCCATAGGTGCATGTGCTTACTAGAGAGAGAGACAGAGAGAGAGGGAGAGTGAGAAAGCACCTCCTTGGGGGGATGGCCACACCACAATCCCTCCTTCTCCATTCTTCTCTCAGGATTTTGGGCACGCACACACGCTCACCCAGTGTGTCTTTCAAGGCGGCTAGTCTGGAACTCAAATTGCATGGCAGGTCATGGAGGATCTAGTGCCTCAACCTCCATACCACCTGCTGGCTCAGAGCTTTTTATATTTTTTAATATAATTTAATTTTTTGCTAGAGAGCATGTGTGCTCACCAGGAAGAGACAGACGGAGAGGGAAGGAAAGTGAGAAATGCCCCCAGGGGGATGGCCACAATGCAATTCTCACTCCTCTATTCTCCTCCTGGGACTTTGAGCACACTCGCACACATGCCCAGTATATTTTTCTTTTTAAATTTATTATTATTATTATTATTATTTTAGAGAGAGATTTTTGCTATAAGGTGCAGGAGCTCGCTGGAGAGACAGAGAGAGACAGAGAGACAGAGAGTGAGAAATCATCCACCCGGGGATGGCCATGCCACAATCCCTTCTCCTCCATTTTCCTCTTGGGATTTTGGGCACACACGCCTGGCATGTTTTAAGCCACCAGGTCCAGGACTCGAACCGTGGTAGACTACATGAGAGTCCAGCAATGTAACCATTATGCCATCTGGTGGTCCCAATTTATTATTATTATCACATTTGCTATAGGGCACGTGCGTTCACCAAAGAGAGACAGAGAGAGGGAAAGTGAGAAGCAAGCTGCCAGGTCTGGGACTCAAACTGTGGTCGGCCATATGGGAGGCCTGTGCCTTCACCACCATGCCACCTGCTGGCCTCAACCCAGTGTGTTTTTCAAGCCACCAGGTCCAGACTGGAACTGCACAGTTGGCCCTGTGGGTTCCAGCTGCCTTAACCTCCATGCCACCTGCTGGCCCGGTTGGGGCTTTTGGGCTCTTGTGAGCTCTCTGGGCACAGAAGTCCTGGTTTATTGCCCTCAGTGGACTGGGACTTCCAGGAACTGGCATTTGCTGCTGTTCACAGAGCACTGTGTGTTCCGCCCTGACTGCAGACAGAGTGCGACTTATGGCTCTCCTGGGTGGGATCTCTCTGATGGCCGAGTGTGCCCTCCTCCCCAGTGGCTGGCTGCTGGGGCCTCCGAGGATGTTTTTCTGGACATACGATGGAGGGGGGCCTTCCTCACCCACCGCGGGGGCAAGTAAGGACAGAGGGGACTAAGGAGCCCACCCAGACTTGCCTGGCTTCATGGTGACTGTTCAACCCATTTCTCCCTCAAAGTCCCGGGCACTGGTGGTGATGAGAGATGATCTTAGATCACCAGCTGCCACTGGCCTTGCATCTGTCCCTTGTTCTTTTAAATTTTTTTTGGCAAGCCTTGGAGTAGAGGATGCCAGGGGCCACTCTGGCTCAAAGTAGAAACTGACAGGGAAGCTGGAAGGGGTCTATATAGTCAGGCAGAGCCTGATGTCAGGGAGAAGCTCTCTCGGCCCCTTTGATGCCTGTCCCTGGTCCCGGGCCTGTGGCCAGTAGCTGATCTGTTCAGCCAACCTCTCCTGGCCTCGGGAGTGTAACCGCCTACGAGTTCCTGATTTTAACTCCGTACTGTCTAATAGCCACCATGGATGGGGTGGGAGGAAGGACAGATAGCCAAGCACGAGATTAAAAACTTCTCCTCCCAAGTAAGGAGGCTTTGTGGGCCTGAGAGAGACGCCTGTGCTCTCTCCAGTCCCAGGAGTGCGGGTGGGGAGCTGAGGTCAGGCACTCGGGCAGCTGCTGGGCCGCTCTGAAATCTTTGGCCAGATTTATGCTGCTGTTGGCTAATAAACACTTGTACCTTTGGTGTGAAGGACGAAGTGTGCTTACATAAAAGCTAGCCATGTTTCCTGGCCTCAGCTGGGTGAGCTGATTTAGTTGATTGCTTAATAAATTCATGCAGGCCCAGTCACATGACACAGACAGCAGGGGTGTTCCTACTCGATGCTAGAGACCATGTGGCAGGGCTCTGGGTTCATGTCCTGGGTTAGCCTGGACATGCCAGGCAAGACCACAGCATGCCTGTGATCCGGGCTGGCTGCAAGGGAGGGCTGTGGCATGAGGACATTGTCAAGGGTGTCGCTCCCCATACCCCATGAAATAAAGTTAGAAAAATTAATCCGGAGAAGCTGGTGGCATGGTGGTTAAGGAGGCCGGATCATCCCCCATGGCCAACTACACAGTTTGACTCTTGGGCCTGGTAATTTGAGAAACATGCTGGATGCGTGGACAAGCGTGCCTGAAATCTTGAGAGGAGAATGGAGGACGAGGGACTGCAGCGTGGCCATCCCACCTGGGGAGTGGTTTCTTGCATGCATGTACTTGCTTACTCGCTCTCTCTCTCCCCCTCTCCGATGAGCACAGGTACTCTATAGCAAATTAAAAAAAAAATTAATCCTATGTGGTTGGGCTAATTTTTATCTTAGATTCTATGAATCTATAACGTGGATTCAAAAAGAAAAGTTTATTTGTTCCTTTAATCTTTAATCTCCCTTTCCTTGAGTAATCGTGTGCACATTCCCCCACCACTACCACCAGAGGGTAGGGAAGGCATTTGTTCTTTTTTACCTCCCAGTTTGGTCCCTAGAATAAAAAGAGCCTTGGGAACAGTAGATAGCATACTGGTTACATCCCTGGACTCCCACACGGTGGACTGTGGTTCGAGTCCCGGACCCAGTGGCATAAAAATCACGCCAGGCGTGTGTGAGCGTGCGTGCCCAAGATCCCAGGAGGAGAATGGAGGAAAAGGGATTATGGCGTAGGCATCCCCCCGGGGGGTGATTTCTCACTTTCCCTCTAGCTGTCTCTGTCTCTCCCCCACAACAAGAACATGCGCTCTAAGGCAAAAACCTCTTTAAAAAACAAACCCAAAGGGTCCAGCAGACGCCATAATGGTTACATCACACAATTCCCATGTAGTCCACTGCGGTTTGAGTCACAGACCTGGTGGCTGAAAACTCAGGCCAGGTGCCATGTGTGCATGCCCAAATCCGGAGGAGAATGGAGGAGAAGGGATTGCGGCATGGCCATTCCTCTGAGGTGGGGGATGACTTCTTACTTTCTGACTCTCTGTCTCTCCAGTGTGCGTACATACTCTATAGCAAACATTTCTCTAAAAAAGAACAAAACAAACACACACACACACACAAAAAAAAGCCAGCCTTGCCCTAAGTGACTTAGCAGGTGAGTGTGGGGCACTGAAGGAGTGTGGGTGAAGAGTCAGAAGCCCTGGCTTGCACCCTAGCTGTGCCGCTGACCGGCTGCTGGTCCTGGGCAGGTCTCCACCTTTCTGTGCCGCACTCACCATCTGTCAAATGGGCATCTTACCACAAAGGTCCCGTGACTCTGAGACTTCTTGTGTGCTTGTTCCCCGTGGGTACCTGGCGTTCATTCCCATGTGCATTCAATTCATTCACCAAGTGCTCAGCGTGCCCCAGCCAGGCTCCAGGCAACCTCTTCGGCCCTGGAATTTATTGGAGGACAAAGCAGAGTGCCTCTTCTTGTGCTAGGGGTTTCTTTTTTGTTTTGTTTTGGTTTTGTTTTTGTTTTAAGAATTATTTGTTTACTTTTATTGATCATAATTATTGTTTTCTAATTTGACCATAGAGAGAGAGAGGGAAAGGGAAAGTGAGAAAGCAAGTGACCAGGCCCGGTACTCAAACCACAGTCGCCCATGTGGAAGTCCAGTGCCCCAGCTATCGCTCTACCTGCCAGCCCCAGTGCTTGGGTGTCGAGGGGAGGGCAGACACAGAATTGGTCAGATATGGTAGCACGTGGGTGACTGGGGGGAGATGGTTCTGAATGGAGGTGGTTCCAAATCAGCCGGGGGAGGGGGGTCTGAGAAGGCCTCAGGCTGAGTGGGAGAGGCAGGAGTTATTGGGGGGTCGTGGGCTGGAAGAGCAAGGTGAAGCCTGGGGGCTGGGGGAACCATGAGGTCTTAAAGGTCAGCAGGGTGGCGGAAGGGCCCGTGGGCCATGCCAAGGAGCAGGACTTCATCCTGTGGGTGGTTGCAGACACTGGAGGGTTTTCTAATCCCTGGGGTGGGGTGACTTAAAAAGGCTCACTTGGGCAGCTTGGTGGAGAGGTCCGATTGGGGGGCCACTGGGAGGTGGAGAGGGCCCCGCTGGGAGGCCACAGGGTGGTGGAGAGGTCTGATTGGGGGGCCACTGGAGGTGGTTTCTCTAACCAAGACAGAGAAGATGGCAGCCTGGCTTGAGGGGCATTTGGTACCGAGGCGTCTTGTGGCTTCTCTAAGTCAGAATGAAGTCATTTTCCAGGTTGCCATGGGCTTACTGAGTGTCTCCTCTCTCCCCCAGAGGTGGCCAGTGATGTGCTGACCAGCCTGCCGGGGGCCAGC